CTCGCTGCCTGCACACGAGGGCTGTAGCAAACCCCTCTTCCCCTTCTCTCCTTACCCCCACACTTCAAGGTGAAGTCCCTAAGAAAAGTCACCCAGGCCCTGCACCAGCCCTCCTGGCATCTCCTCCTTCCTGCGCAGCCTGCTGAGCTGGTGTGCCCCTTGTTACCCCTGTGGGCACACCCACAGAAAGGAGAAGTTGGGGCTTTGAGGATTTCCTCTCCGGGAACTGCACTGCCCTGAGGGTAGGTGCCTGGTGCACACTTCAAAGCAACAGGAAACCTTCTGGCAATCACAGGGGCATGTCTCCTCCTGACCCCCAGAGACCCCCAAGAGTCCCGTTTCCGCCCGTAACGCCTGGTGAGCACTCTGGCCCTCGTTGGCAACAGCTCCTTCGTGTTACAGAAACAGGAAGCCATTTAGTCAGCCCGGCACAACAGCTCATGACCTTGGCTCTGCATTTGGAGCTGGATGCTAAATGTTTCCGGCGCAGTGGCACATGCCACGACAGTGCAAGGTCCCCGGCTGACCCTCACTGCCCATTGCTTCTGCACCTCCTCGCCCTGGCTCATCAAGCCCTGAGGCTTATGGGGCTGGTGTCAGCTCAGGGGAGTTGAAACCCACCCTCCCCAGGCCCACCCAAGGGCGCAGGGGCAGGATGGGGGAAGGTGGCTTCCAAGGCAGACAACCACGGACCTCCAAACCCAATGCAGCCAGAAGGGTTTTCCGTGGGACTCAGCAAACCTGGGAAAAGGGGGCTTGGATTGAAATAAAAGGATCAAGACTTAGGAGCATCAGCAGCACCGGGGGAGCCCTGGGTGTGTCAGGGCCAAGGTGCCCTGCAGGAGCCGGGGAGGGGAGGAGATGAGGCTGGATTTGAAAACCAGCCAGCAGCAGCATTGGAGCCACGTAACAGCTTGTCCAAACATGCAGCCACCGCAAAGGGGGAGGCATCCTCTGCACCCGCTTTGGACCGGTGGCCTGGTGCCCAGCCTCAGGGCTACCCCTGGGCCCGGAGAAAGGGAGACAAGTCTCAGAGACGAAGCCTGCGCCGATCAGGGCCCTTTTAGACACCGGCTCCACCCACCTCCGGTTGCAGAAGGTAATGCTGCAATGTTCCCATTGATTTCTTAATGCATTTGTTGCTGTGGTGTCTGGCCTCGTCTTCAGCGGACGGCGCCCAGAGGACAGCCCGGCGTCCTGTGCTGCCCCAGGGCTGCAGACAGCCCCCGCCCGGCCCATGCATGGGCAGGGCGATGCGATGCGGCAGGCAGTAACGTGGGGAGGGAGCCATGCAGCCGGGGCCCCCACAGTGGCGAACACCCGGTGCCAGACAGCAGTGACTCCTCTGCAGCTGGATCGGGCCCGCATGCCAGGATTGACCCCGCAGCCAGGCCGCCGCAGCAGGGAGAGTCGGGGATGCAAAGGGGCAGGCTGTGTCTCCCAGTCCAAAGGGGCCGAATCCGGCTGCAGCTCCGCCAGCGCAAGGCAAAGATGAGGCCTGACTTAACTGGCATTGCACTGGGGGAAGTGAGAGGTGTGGGGTCAGAATACCCCAAGGAGCTCAAGCTCCAAGTGAGGCTCCCAGGGTTGGCTAGGGTGGTGGTTCTCTGCCTTGCAACCCAGTGCAAACCTCCCTGCATCTTCCTTGCCAAACTGGGGTAGAAACTTTGCATGTGCTGCCCCATCGGGCCCCTGGGCCACCTGCAGAGGGAGTTTCTACACTCCCCAGCTGACACCTGCCCCCGAAGCACCCCCTTTCCCCTCCAGCCAGCTTCTCAGGTCTGGGGGACCTGGCTGAGCTGGCTCTCCCATCACCTCCAGCCCCATCCCTTCCAGCTCGTTGCAATATTGCAAGCAATTCCAGACCCATTCCTTGAGGATCCTCCTGCCCAGGGAACAGTCCACGGTGCTATCCCGTGCTCAGAGCCAGCCCGAGGAGTCGAGTTGTTCTGCTTACGAGGGTCACGGCAGTGCTGTAGCAAGCACCGTGCCCAGGAGCTTGGTGGGGGGAAGCAACACGGGCTGCAAGAGACTCCTAGATCATTTTGTAGGGTTTTGTGGATGGGGGAGAAGCTGTCCCTTTACTCTTGTGTCCCCGATAGCAGCAGATTTATGATCTGGCTGCAGCTTCCGTTCCTAAACAGCCCCCACTGAGGCACGGGATGGGGTCTCGGGGGATGCACTGCCCACTGGTCCTCCATCTGCACCAAACACGGCAGAGACCAGACAGCGCTGTTGTGCCACTGAGCCAGGAGCACTCCAGGGGCTGGCAGGGAGAGCTGGCTCTCTCCTCTCCCTCAGCCACTCCCCGACAGGCCTGGGCCCCGGGGGCATTCCCCAGGATGCTGGGACCCCCTCTGCATGCTGGGCTCTTTGCAGACTCGCGGCAGGGCAAGTAGGGACACACACACACGTTGCAACCGCTCCCCCCTGGAAGGCTCTTGGGAGCCCAGGCTGCCTGCCAAGCTGCCCACAAGCCTTCTCCCCGCTCGTCCCCACGGTGGGGTCGCCCAGGACACAGAGGGCATCACAGCCCGGCGTCCGCACAAAGCGACCGGGGCCTGGACTCACCCCTACGACAAAACCACCGAGGTCTGCTGAGGACCAGCAGCGGGAGGCTGGTGTCTGCGGGCTTGTCTCGGCCGCCGTGCCCACTCAAGCTGGAACCTGAGCGTTGCACCTACCCGATTCCTGTCCACACCCCCAAAAACATCGCCAGCTCCTGCTACCTGGTGCTTTACTCCGGGGCTGGCCCAGCCAAAAAAACAGCTGCATCTCGTGTTCGAGGGGAAACACAGCAGTGCCAGGTCCAGCAGCTTGTCCACTGCTAATCCAGGCGCTCGGGGCTGCTAATGCCATCTTGGCGTGGAGGCGTCTCTCTCACGGATGGGCTCAGCTGGAGTTTGCTGTTCACTGCTGACAAACCCAATTCTCCGCCCTGCTCCTGTACTAAAAGATTCCCCTTCCAGACCCTCAGCCAAGGGGAGGTGAGCGGAGAAGGGGGGGAATATGTCCAGTTCAGACCCTACCCCACAAACTTTCCAGCATGCTTTTGTGGCCCTCGCCCCCCCAAAACAGCCACACAGAGGAGGGGTAGACCTCACAGGCAAGAAAAGGGTCTGATGACTCACATGGAGCGATTCCCTGGAAAACTTTGATCCCTTCCCTGGGCATCCCAGAGAGCTGGCTCGGATATTGTGCTTTTTAGCAGACAGCTGAGGAGGTCCTCGCTCTCAAAACAAGTGGCAGTGGTAAGAAGCTGCCTGAGGCTGGATGTGGGGAAGGGGGCAGGTGGTGGGGAGAAGCCTCTTGCTCTGTTTGCAAGGCGTCCTGGACCGGGTTCAACAAGCTGGCAGAGCCCGGGGGCCGCACAGCAAACCCATAAAGCAAAGAAATCCCTACCTGCTCGATGTCCCTTCGCAGCCCAGTGCAGGGGAGCTGGAAGCTGCTGAGTGCACGCGCCAGTGACCTACTTGCACACAAACTTCCCGGCCCCCCAGCTCCCTGCTGCCTGTGTGCAGCTCCCAAGCCTGCATGCAATGGCTGGGGGTATCCTTGCAGGGCTTTTTAAAGGAGGACTGCCCCTGGGAAAGAAGAGCAGCCTAGCCCCCTTGCTTTTCTCCTCCTCTCCCCCCACCCCCTGCCTTTGAGAAGGGAGCTCCAAGTTCAAGGCCAAAGCTGCGCGCCGGGGCCCCCTGCCGGGCCTGGCCGGGAAGGCACCAAGGGGGCAGGCCTCCCTGCATCACTTCATGCTCCGCAGCTTGCAGAAAGGACCAGATCCCCCCCAGCCCCCTGGCACAGCCCCCGCACAGATGAACACCCGGCTTGTGCCAGAGCAGCCGGCACGGCTCTGCTCCCCCGCCCGCTCTCCGCAGTGCCAGGGCAATGACAGCGAGGGTCCGCAGGAACAGATGACCCCCAGGACCGGGTGCCTGCTGTATCCACGTCCCAGCTGATGCCCCATATTGTCACTGCTAATTAATCGCCCTATATTGCAGCACTCAGAGAGGCCAGCCCCCCTGCACCAGGTGTTTCCAGACACAGGGAGGGGGGGCAACATGCTGCTGGCTTGTCTGCACGAGGGGGTGTCCCACAAAGCAAGGGGCATCGACACAGAAATGTTGTGTCTTCAGTGTGATGAGTCCAGACAGGTGGCTGCTGCCACACTCACGGCTTGCTGGGATAGTAAAAGCCGAAGTCTCCCAGCTTTCGCGGCTGGGGAGCAAACTGGAATCATCTACCTTTTTGTCCACTTTTCCACTCGCTGATCCTTGGTGGTAAAAGCCTCCGAGGATTGTGGCAGTTCAACCCGTGGCACAGGGTGAGAACCCACAACCCTGGCACCATGTCTTTTCCACACGCATGGAAACAACCGCTCGTGCTTTGCAAAATCAAAAATAGTCGCAAAATACGTGGTGCAGCCAGAGCCCTGAGCTGGGGTGTTTTGGCACGTTGATAGTCACCGCCAAGGCAGGGGCAGCCCTGAATTAACCTGGCAGTTTCTTAACGAGGGGTTGACCCACAATGTTGATTTACCAAGAAGAGGCTGCGGTCACTGCTGGGAATGCAATTTGCACCGACACAACGGTGGGCACGGGCACCACGGCAGCACTGTCCCCCGCACAGACTAGTCACCCAAGGGCCATCCCAGCTGCCCCCGCAGCAACCCTCCAGAGCTATGTCCCGTGCCAAAAGTGCAGAGCGGGGCACACAGGTCCCACAGGAAGCCCCACACGTGATAGAGACCCACAGCCTCGCGGGTTTGTGCGCACTCTGCGAGAGCCTTCGTTGGCGTGAGTGGGCAAGTCTCTGGCAGGCCACTTTTGTTTTGTTCCCCGGCTCGTGGGACCTGCCCTTCCAAGCGCGTCTGTGTCCTCTGAGGTTGGAGATTCTTGGCAAAAGGCATTGAAAAGTCCTGCAGTTTAAAGAAGAGCCTTTGAGCTGTCCATTGCCTTGGGGGAGGAGAGAGATAAACTAACGTACACTGTGTGACAGCTTGGATGAATGGAGAAGGAGAATGAAGTGACCTATCTCTTCCTGGCTCTGCCCCACCCTCGGCGTGACCTCAGACAAGTCATTTCTCCCCTCTGGGCCTCAGTTTCCCCCTATAACTCTAGGATATTGCCCTGCTTCTTAAAGGGCCATGGGACCTTCACGTACAAAGCATTGCATCCTTTTGCTCTGGCCTGTGCATTGCCAAGCACCACCGAGGCCCAGCCCAGGACCATCAGCAGTAGAGTGAGGCCAGATAGGTTCAGTCCTTCATTTCAGCACGGGAATACAGCTGGTTTTTCTGGTCTGGTTCTTTAGTATACAATCCATCCCATTAGAAACACTACAAAATCCCACAGAGCACCTGTTATTTGAATTCAGAGGCAGAGTTTCCTTTCTGTTAGATCCCAGACAGATTTTTCTTTCTGAGTCAGCCACTGCCCTGGGAGAAAAAAAAGAAGCCATTTTTCACACCGGCCCTCCAGTCACAATACAAAGAATTAATCAAGGATTAATATGTAGATGAAAGAGTTAATAATATGTTTAGCAGATGCCGCTGGAAGAGCCAAAGAGGCCTGAGGTATAACTGGTGACAAGCAAGACTTCTCGGTCTGTGCTTCTGGGTTTGCCTTAGCCAGCTCTTCCTAGGACGCTTGCTCCGTGCATCCTTCTCCAGGCGCCGCTGTGCACGGTTAGCTGCTGGGAAACGCGTAGGTTGAGATCAGTGAGGACCTTGACCTCCACTTGTGGGCCGCTGGGATATGCGTTTCAGGGGCCTTTAGGATTGAAATGCCTCTGTTGGCTTTAAGGCTGTGAAGTGCCTGGCAGCGCACTTGTCTGTAAGGGTGAGAGCAGCACTTGTCGTTCCCAATGGCGCAATCCGTAGGCAACGGTGGTATTTGGTGTGGGAGTCTCCTACGCGCACATCCACTTCACCTGCCTTTCATAGGCAACCAAAATGCAACGCCTCCTGCAAAATGCCAGACATGGATGGGTTCAGAGCAGCAGGTAGAGGAGTTTGAGTGGTTTGGCTAACTGATCTGACAAAACAGGCCAAGCAAAGAGCTTTCTCTTCTCTGGCTGCTCAACGGAGCATGTGAGAAGCAAGGCTGGAGCGGAGAGAGGCGACAAGGAGGTCAAAATCTGCTTTACTGCAGGGCCTCCTGGGAGGGAGGTTTGGGGGTCAGCGCACAGGCCTAAGGGGCAGGAATTTGAGGTCGAGTCCATGACCGGAATAGATATCAATTCACATCCCACTACTGCAACTCAGTCCCCCCATCTGTAAAATGGAAACAAAGACACTTGCCAGCTTCAAAGGGGGAAGGGTTAGGAAGCCAAGCCCTAAGTGCTTGGAGAGTCTTAGCTAGAGCGGACGACCCTGCCCCCAAAAGGGGCACATTTCTGTGGGGCATTTCTACAGGGTCAAAAATATTTGCATAAAAAACAAAAGTGCTTTTTCCTTTTAAATGCCCTCTGCCACAACTCCCTTTGGCTTCTGAAGCAATCTTATTGCTCAGAAGGCTCTCTTTTTTTGGCATAATAGGCTTTCCATGAAATACCAAACCAGTATCACTCACTCAAAGTCAAAGCGTGCCTTTAATAGTGTTTAATAGTCCTTTCCGGTGGCATTTCAGGCAACCTCGTTATCTGTATGACAGCAGCACCTAGAGGCCCCGTTGTGTTAGGCACAGCAATGGCCGGGGCTGGCTCTGCCGTGCAAGCCCTTGTGCAGACACATAAAAGGGGGTTTCGTCTGTTTGGCTTAGCTGAGTTGGGAACGGGTTGAAGCTGAAGCCAATTTTGGATCAAAACTAAATAGGCTGCTCTTTAACTGGAACTGAGTCCACACAAGGTTTTGCACCAGTTTAACTTAACTCCGTATCAACAGATTCAGCTAAACTAGCGCAACAAGCGGCCGGAGCGTCGAGCAGAGGAGTGGAAGGTGCCTCCCGGGTGATCCAGGCCAGGCCTTTGCATTCACAAGCAGCTATATGTAAGCAAAGGGTGGGAGAAAGGAGGGAAAGGACTCCAAGGCAAAAATAGCGCTGTGATCTCCTGGGTCACAGGCTAGTGCCCAATCCCCACACCAGCCCTGGGAGTATCCTGAAATAGCGTCCTAGGTGGAAAGCTGAGAAGGTCTGGGCAAGCTGGGCAAAACGGTGACCCTGCAAATGGAAGGCGTCGTAAGGGCGAGTGATTTAAGTTATTATTGAGTGAGTATACCTTCCAATGGGGTCATTATATATAGATAAATATACACTTGTGTCTTCAGGTCTGGGCAAAGACTTTCGAGCTCAGTGATTTCTGAAGCCGCAAAAAAAACCAACAACAGCTGACACGTGCAGACTTTTGGCAAGGAGCAAGTGTGCCTCTCCTGAGCTTTCCACGTGGGGGCATGGAGAGGGCCTGCAGTGCCTCCCCACCCCCAGTCCAACACACCCAGAGCCCGGAGGGGAGGCCAGCTGGGGCCGTGCAGCCCTCTGCGTGACATCCCTCCGTGGATCGAGAGGGGAAATACGGTTATAAAGAGGCATCTTGACCTCAACTTTAGGACTTGAAAAATTCATGCTAATACATTTGCAGTGCACCAAACCGTATGCTTTTTTCCACCCCCAAATTGCACAGAAGGGGAAATGGAGACCATTTCAAGGGAGAGTATCTAGGACACTGGCACTACGATGATGCTTTATTCCCTCCCCTGCCAGTTGCACCCTCTCAGCAGCTGGGAAAACCAGACTCTCTCCTCCCAGGTCTGTCTCTGCCATTTTCACCTGTGCCCAAAGGGAGGACCATCCAGGCAGCCTACCGCCAGGAAAGAAGAGACGGATGAGCGAGTGCTCCCTCTGCTGACAGCAAACCCTGCATCAACCAGGGGATTTTTTGCATCTAAAAAAGATCTTTCCACAGGGCTGTGGCGACCACCCTACAGCAGTTTCCACAAAGGAGCATGGGGACCTGCGGTGAAGCAAGGAAGGGTGTCTCTAGGGGCACAGTGGGGATGTCACTCAGCTAAAATCTGGACTTCGGGTGGCTGGGTGGTAACACCAAGGAGACCCAAGTCTACAGAAAGAGATGAGTATGGAGCAGGCAAGGAAATGGGCTTGTAGGTAGGAGTCTGAGGGTGGGAGAACGGCAACGGCAAGGGGAGGTCCCTTGCTGTTAGTCACAGCCCTGAGGAGCAGAGTCAGGGAACCTGCCAAGTGCCCGACTCGAGGGACCAGCAAGTGCCTCGCAGGGACGGCGGGGCTGCCGGAGGCCAGAGATCAGCCACAACCGGACTGCAGGAATCTGGAGGATCACGGAAACGCTGGCAAAGAGAAGCAGGACGTCGCTGCCAAGCAACTCTACAAATCATGGGCCCAGAAGAAGCTCCCTGGCAGGGGCTGGATGGCAGCACACCAATTCGGGAGGCAGAGAGCCAAGAAATCAGGTGGAAGCCGTCCTGGGCAGCGCGGGGCCGGCTGCACAGCGGGAAGGCGCCGTGCAAGTGGAAGCTACCCAAGAAAGGGCAGAGCAGGCGTGGGAGCACGGATGTGCCGAGCTGGCGGGTGAAACGAAGAGGCTAGCGTATAGGAAGGGAAGCCGCGTGCCCACGGGGCGGG